TCATTTTAATTCCTTCTACATCTTCCAGCATGTTTTTAAGCGGTCCTAAGAGAATATCCTCTGTTTTTTTTCTGAATTTAACTTTAAAAGCACCATATATTTCAGATTTTATTACTTTAATAGTCTCTTTTAAGGATTCTCGATTTTTTATTGGCAATGTGCAGTCGTCTGCATGTTGTAAACATTTTATTTCATTTGATTGATTAGTTTTGAAACCTTGTATATTTTCAGAAGCATTTATTTTAAACACCAGGATTTCAATAACAAAAAGAAAGAGCTATGTTAAGACGGGACATCCTTGTCTAATGACTCTTGACATTGTACATTTTCTAGTTAACCAGTGATTATTTTTAACATGAAAATAAGGCTTTGTGTATAAAATTTTCACCCATCTAAGGAAATTTTCTCTAAAGTTGAACTTTTTAAGAGTTTGAAACAAGAAAGTCCATTCAACTGAATCAAATGCTTTTTGAAAATCAGCAAACAATAATTTTCCTTCTTCATTGTTTTCTTCACAATATTCATATATATCTTGTATTTATCTTGTAATCTTGTCTTTTCACTAATTAAGCTTCCCTTGGTAAAACCTGTTTGATTGTCATTAATGAGTTTGTCCATAATAATTTGTGCATGGTCTCTTTGCAAATACGAAAGCTAAAATCTTATAATCGCAATTTATTAAACTAATATGACGATAGTTATCAAGATTTATCAAGCTCCTTTTTTATGTATGAGTGACATAACAGAAGATCTTCGTAAAGATGATAATTCGCGTACTTCAAATGATCTCACATAATGGTAGATCATACAAATGATCTCACTTTAAATGATCTCACCATAGGCTTTCATATCAATAAAATATTTCTAAACATTTTATAAAACTCCACGGGAATTCCGTCTTATCCTGGTGATTTATTTAATTTCATACTTTAAACAGCTTCTGCACCTTCTTCAATTGTTAGAACTCGCAATTTTCTGTGTATCCTCATCAGATAGGTAATTAGTAAGTTCCGTTTCTTGTAAATATCTATTTACATCGCTTATTGATATGTTGCTCTGTTAACATTGACATACAAATGTTATTTGTTAAATTGTTGCAAATGGAAGAAATGATTTTTTTTTTCTGTTTACAGCCTAAATCCCCCCCCCCCAAATCGTTAGCTACCCAAACTCGAAAATCATATTTCGTGAAGGGGAAGTGGTGTTGTTGGAGCTATCTCTATCTCTGATATGTTTTTATTGTGCTGAAATTTGTCTTTGTTCGATCGTACATGCAGCAAACAAAAAGTGGGGTGGGGGGGGGATCTTCTGAAATTTACGTAGTAAAATTACATCAGTTAAAGTTCAACGATACACCCCCCGGGACTTGTTTAGATCGAGTGCATTTTTTCCCTGCTACATTTTCTGTAAATACATACACAAATACTCATAACGTTAATTCTGAAACCAAAAATAGTGCACTAAGTAGGTTAATTAACCAAATCATTGTACAGTATTTATGTATATGTTTTCGAAGCTGGCGTTTTATATATATGGGAAATTTTAACTATACTAATCCTTAAAACATTATGCTTTGTCATTGAAGGTTTCTCTCCCGATGTTTTCCAGTGGTTTAAGAACATAATTATATGTAAATAAAGTCCCATGTCACAAAAGCTAGCATCAACAATACGATAAGCTTAAGCTCTTTTTGAATCCTGCATTAAAACATTTTACATTCTGTATTCTTTAATTTTCTTCTTCCTTTGCTTTATTAGGCCCTGATTTCATTTTTCAATCCTTTTCTATACTCTGCAGTTTTCTAAAATATTTATCTGTTATATCAGACTCAAATGGGAATAAAAGGATCCACGCCTGTGTGCTTCTTATAGTGCCCTGTATACATAACGAAAGGTAGTGGCACGGTATGTAATTTACCTATCTAAGAAATCAATCATCTGTCTATAAGGTAAATATACTTCCGTATACCCGCATTTGACTTCAGTAGACAGTACGTACATAATATAAGGGCACGGGCCTCAGGCTAAACTTGTTACATTGTAGAATGCCCATATGTACGGATCAGCGTTTTATATACTCGGGTTTTAAAGGCCGCCGAGGAACACCAGCGTCGCTAGGTGGGGATAAGGTGCGTGCACGAGCTCATGGTACGTATACCTCTAAGTACTGGCGCTTTGTTAATCAAGGCAGGTACTCTCAGCCCCTTATGGAAATATGCAGTGTTTTTTTTAATTGACAAGTTTTTGGAATGCTTGGAATGTGTCGCTACTACGACTAAAATTAAACAGACGTATCGTCCTATTGTTATGATAGGTAGGTTTTTACTTAATAGTGGACAAGGATGTTAAGTTTTTTCACATTCACTGTCTATTCATTAGTTTTTTTAATTTTTTTGATTTTCTTAGCTATTGTTCATAATATTTTATACAGGCTCCACTAGATGATAAATGTCAGGGATTTTTCTTCTCATTTACATACAACATCATGCATGAGTGTACAACTAAAATTATTCGTGTTTTCATCTAAATTTCGTTCCTATTTACGCTATACCAACATTTTGTGTACAATGACAAACACGGAAATTGAAGTCCGTATATATATAGATCAGTACAGTAACTTCACGGTATTACAGAAATCGATCAGTCCAGTCATGACATAACTCGGACACCCCAGTGTGATCCGCCTGCATGTAACAATAAGTCAATATACCCAGTATTTGTTGCCTTTGGGTGTATTCATGTAATCGATGGTTTGTGTTTAACAGGTTACTGTGTTAATCAAACATTTATATAGGGCCCACAACACTATGTAATACGGCGGTGGTGTCCTCCTAGTTTGAAAAGCCCCGCCCTTCCCTCATTTGCAACTTTGATTTTTATGAAACATTCCTTTTCTTTATTGAAGAAAGAAGCCTTAATCAACGCCCCTCCCACCCACCCAACCCGGTAAATTGTATTGTTGTGCATACATTTCAAATCAATGTAATTTTCCATAAGCATATTCAACAAAATATCTGAACATATTGCCTTCTTCCCCTATTTGACTTTGACAATAAAAGGCTTGTAACGGATGTTTCAAACTGTTTTATATAAATATTTTATAATCATTGATTATTGTAGGCTATGTTTCATGGCGAGTTATACAAGAAGACCCTCCCTAGATCCCGGGTCCCGGCCTACTTCCACGTGCCGTACATAGAGGCAGGGTACCGCTATATTCACCAGCCATGGACATTCTACATCTACAGTATCTTTTACAACAACATGGAGACGCTCAACGTTTGGACGCATGTCGTGGGCACGCTTCTAATGACGTCACGTCTGTACCAAATATCTGTCAACTTTGACCTTGGTGACCCCTACATGTGGCCCCTCTTAGCAGCGATTCTCTCTTTTACGGTCATGTTCGTCACCAGTAGTACCGCGCACATGTTTTCTCACAAATCTATGGAAGTGAACTGTTGTATGTTTATGGCAGACTTTGCATGTATTGGTCTCTATGGATACGGCACCATACTTACCCACTACTATTATTCTTTGGATCAGTGTTTCTTGGAATCGGTTCTTCTGAGGAACGTGTTCTACTTCGGTTCAGTACTTGCTATACTTAGTACCGCCTTTGGATCGATGTCCAAAGCTATAGTTCATGATCTTCATTCCAAACGACGGACAGCCTTAATAGTTTCGGGTCTAGGTGCAATATATCTTTTGTCCAACATTCCAATTCTCCATAGGATCTGGAACTCCGAGTGGACGGACGGGATCGCTCACCATCTTAAACAAATGGCCAGTATGATTGGCGTCTGTTTCTTCTACTCTACAAAACTCCCAGAACGTCTCTCACCGGGGACTTTTGACTTCATAGGAAACAGCCACCAAATCTTTCATATCCTGTTCGTCTTGTGTACTCAGAATCACTTGGATGGTGTCGTCTGGGACATCAACTTCCGGCAGACGTTCGTAGTCCGTCGGCCTCCACCGTCCCTTTGGAACATTTTTGGAATCATTGCTCTTATCTGTTTGGCAGACATACTGACTATGAAATATTTTTATTCTAGATTTAAAAAGAGATGTTTGAAGAAAGATACAAATTCTAATGAACTTAAGGCGAAAACCAATGGCTAAGCCAACAAACAGAAAAACCAGCCAATAAAAAGAGATGCTTGAAGAAAGATACAAATTCTAATGAACTTGATGGAAACCAGTGGCTCAGCCAACAAACAATATGGGGTTGGGGTTTCCGACCGATGGCTGTTTTTGTTTGTTTTTGTTTTATTTTGGGTTTTTTTGCCTACCTCTCCATTCAATTCAATTTTAAGCCAAGAACCACAGCTCTAAGAATTACTCCTTTTTGTTCATTTGTCCCGGAAAAGTGATAATTTGACCTTGAAATCCAACATGATTAACTTGTCCTTAATTTTCATCCCATTCTTTCTAGTAATTGCATAATGACATCCTCTTCTTTTTGTGAAAAAAAGAAGAGGAGCGGAACTTCTTCCCTGGCAAACGAAGATGGGTACAAAAACAGAAATTTCTGGCCTGTCGTTATAATTTTGTAATACATATGGGTTTAGGGTATTTCAATACTCATTTGTTGAATGTCTCATTTGTTATTATTGTAAAAACTGGATCTGGTCTACACTTGCCAAAATGTAACAGTATATCACATACACATGTATATACTTCAAAATGTTAAAAAATATACTATACTACGCAAATATAGCTAAGCGTGATCTAGCCCAGTCAAGTCTTTCAGCATACTACATATGTGTAATTTTACCAACGTATGTAATGCATCGAAATGAAGATTCATATATACGTATGTAACACAAAACTTTGATGGATTCTTTTATATACATTTCCAATATTGTTATCGTTGTTTATTAAATTTTTACTTTTACCTCCAATATGACATTCTTTTCTTTTCTCTATTTGTACAACAGAATCTAAATTCAATTGAAAGGGTAGAATCTGTTGTTGTTTTTTTTTTCTTTACTAAAATAAGATGTGCGAACATAGTGTGCAGAAAGCCCATACCTTTAAATATATAAAACACATTCAATTTGTGGATTAAGTATTTATAATAAGCATTTTTTTTCGAAAAAAATTTCTCGGCAAAATTTATTACTAAAAAAATAATGGTGTCCGTGGGGTTCGAACCTTAGCTGTATAAACTTTCTTTCGAGACCAGACTGCACGCTAACTACGAGACTACACAAGTCCTGATACATTTAAATCATATTTGTGATCACTGGCTTAATGCACTTCAAGAATATTTCTCAAAAAGATACAAATATTTAATATTTCATAAAAGTATATTTTGATGGTAGAGTCTTTCCTCCATATGCAAACTTTAAGGATTAACTTTCAAAAAATGGAGCAAACACATACTCATTTTAGAAAATGGTGTTATAGTATGATTGATTGATTGTATGTTGTTTAACGTCCCTCTCGAGAAATTTCCAATCATATGGACGATGCCACCAATTGCGGGTGGAGAGCAACAGATATTTTCCTATACTCGGCATTGAGGGACATTGAGCAATGAGGGATCTTTTTCGTGTCAGCACCTACTGTGATACGGGACCTCGGTTTATACGGTCTCATCCGAAGAGTCTCCACGTCCCACAGTGGGATTCGAATCCGCGACGTGAGGATCAACTCCTGCTTTGCGACTCTAGAGCAGACGCTCTAACCACTACGCCACGCAGGCGACTTTGTTGACGATTGAAAAGACGCCAACACGTTTTTCATAACACTCCTTGTCATGATCGGCAAAACGGGATATTCTTCGACAAATCGGTAATTAAGTTAATATTGGTCTTACAATTACATGTAGTATGAAAAACGTCATTCATCTTTGACTTAGATGGTATTGCTGACATTATTGTATCAATCACAAAATAATGACTTTTAAACCAAGACTTGATATTCTTGTCTCATCAACTTGTTTGTCAATAAATTACCTTGTTTTAAAAACTGTTCATACGTACAGCATGCTCTTGCTCTTTCGTATCGAATCAACTGAGAGATATAAATCCCATTTGCAGGCGATGTAGGTATATTATGCATATGTAAGGGAAGTTGACGATTGAAAAGTTAAAGTAATCACGTTTATCATAAAGATTGGCTGTTAGATAACCATTAATGTTTTTTTATGTAAATGTCCAAATATGACACAAATGTGTCTGACTCTGTGGTATCTTTTATTCAAATATTATTTTATCTAAAAGTTATCAAAACTTCAAATTTCTAGACGGGTTTGATTGACACACCCTTGCACTTTCACAAAGAACGAGGGCGCTTTTGATTGGCATTCGACAGGACTCTGGGCTTAATTGAAAAGTGAAAATTTTATCGACATGTCACATGAAATTTTAACATTTTTTTTATTCATCGGGTACCTGTGCAACAGGAAAGGAAAATATTTTCCCCAAATTGAGCTTTGATTTGCTCAAAAATAACTTGAAAATTGGCCAGATCAGACATTTGGTACAAAATGGTACATTGTTAAATACGTTTTTCTAAACTTTTTCTATCTCTGGGTCTTCTCTCCATGATTTTGAAACGTTATTTGTGTGTATTTTAATTCAAAGAAACGAATACACATTTTTAAAAAATGGAGAGAAGACCTAGAGACCACGAAAAATGAACTTTTTCCCAAAAAAATCCAAATGTGTGAATGTGGTGCTTGTTTGTCCTTTTAAAATCCACTGTAAATGTGTAGCGGTGATAGCTCAGTAAGTAGGGTTACCTTTCAGTGCGCTCGACACAAGAACTTTTTGGTTCGAGCCTGGCATGGGCCGTTAATTTTTTTTTTTTCATGCAAACAACCATTTGTTTTGCCAGTTTCGTTTTATGTACTGATGTATTAAAATTTTGAATTAGATAAATTTTGGTTCAGTTTGGTTCTCGAGCGAAATCAATCTTTTATTCTATAATGTACATGTACACGTGTCATACATCTATGCATTAAATATTTTAGGTGTTTATTTTTTGTGAAACATTACTATGTTATAGTACCCCAAGGAAAAACGGACATAAATGTTTACAATCTGACAAGGTCTTTCAAACTAAATGAAAAAAAAACCATGGACGTGTTTGTAGCTGCCCAGCTATGTTCATCCAACCAAATCATGGACATTTAAACCATACATGTTTCGTACAAATGCAGATCACTCGCCAAATGCGCCCATCTTCTTTTAATTTTATGCTTAAAGGTGCATAGACACAGATTTGAAGTTAATATTTTCTGTATAATATCACGACATGTTTATATTTTATTAGCATTTCACACAAAAAGATATCAAAAATTTTATTTCATCTTAAAGTTATTAAAACTTCAAATTTTCAGACGGGTTTGATTGACACATCCTTGCACTTTCACAAATTTTAATTTTATTCTTAATACCGGTACTTAGGAAAAGGGGCAATCTTGTTGTGTATTAATGAAAAATATTAAAACTTTAATCCAGAAAAATAATTATATTCAGATTAAAAATTGTAAGGAAGCAAATCCCCTTCACAAGTATCGTCATTCCGCGCTAAATGTTGTGTACAGAGTTTAGCAAATTGATCACACCCGTGAAACGTAAAACATTTTTTTTTAAACAGGGCATTAAGAGCTCTGTTATTGTTGACGTTTACGATTCACCGGGAGCGTTCAATTGTAAGTCTGCTCACCACACCATGCATCTTTAAAGCTCACTGGGATGTTTTGTATCAATATATGAATGGAAACAGCTATTGTTCATTGATTATACGTCGTCGATATATAAACGTCGAGGAAAAGGCCTTGTGCATAAGATTTGAATAAATTCTGCATCAGCTCTGCTAACGGAGCGCAATTGGTATTCATGGGAATTCCTATAGATTGTTGGAAGACCTGGTCTCCAAAAAAAAAAAAAAAAAAACAAACAAACAAACAAACAAACAAAAAAAAACTCCAAATTTCTTGTGGTAAGACATTCCCTTGGGTACAAATATTTAAGCCTTGGAGTTTGTTCTAATTCGAAGAACATTTTTCCTTGGCCATTAATTTTCAACAGTTAGTGCTAGGCTTTTATTTTTCACTTGTACAGCTCTTGTGACAAACCTTCCCTTGTGTACCAACAAATTTGATCTGTTGACACATTTTTTTTCAAATCTTAACCATGGTCATGTTTGGGATTAGGTTTTATTACTTGTAGTAAGACTTTTCAATGGGTACTGGTAATTTTTAGCTCACCTGAGCCGAAGGCTCAAGTGAGCTTTTCTGATCACATTTTGTCCGGCGTCCGTCTGTCTGTCTGTCTGTCTGTAAACTTTTCACATTTTCGTCTTCTTCTCAAGAACCGCTGGGCCAATTTCAACCAAACTTGCCACAAATCATCCTTGGGTAAAGGGGATTCAAGTTTGTTCAAATGAAGGGCCACGCCCTCATTCAAGGGGAGATAATTGGGAATTAATGAAAATTTGGTGGCATGTTTTAAAAATCTTCTTCTCAAGAACCACTGTGCCAGGAAAGATGAAACTAATGGGGAACCATCCTCAGGTAGTGTAGATTCAAGTTTGTTCAAATCATGACCCCGGGGGTAGGGCGGGGCCAAAATGGCCGACCAAAGTTTTACATAGACATATATAGGAAAATTCTTTAAAAATCTTCTTCTCAAGAATGATAAAGCCATAATTCATCATATTTATATGGAAGCATCAAGTTTGTTCAAATCATGACCCCCGGGGGTAGGGCGGGGCCAAAATGGCCGACCAAAGTTTTACATAGAAATATATAGCAAAATTCTTTAAAAATCATCTTCTCAAGAATGATAAAGCCATAATTCATCATATTTATATGGAAGCATCCTCAGGTAGTGTAGATTCAAGTTTGTTCAAATCATGACCCCCGGGGGTAGGGCGGGGCCAAAATGGCCGACCAAAGTTTTACATAGAAATATATAGCAAAATTCTTTAAAAATCATCTTCTCAAGAATGACAAAGCCATAATTCATCATATTTATATGGAAGCATCCTCAGATAGTGTAGATTCAAGTTTGTTCAAATCATGAACCCTGGAGGTAGGGCGGGGCCACAATGGCCAATCAATTTTTTCAAAGAAATTTATAGGAAAAACTTTTTAAAAATCTTCTTCTCAAGAATGGCAAAGCCATAATGGATCATATTTATATGGAAGCATCCGCAGGTAGTGTAGACTCAAGTTTGTTCAAATCATGACCCCGGGGGTAGGTTGGGGCCACAATGGCTGACCAAAGTATATAGAAAAATTCTTTAAAAATCATCTTAATAAGAATAGCAAATACATGATTGATCATGGGACTACTTTTGGATTTAAACTTTTCAATAATAAACCAGTAACTACTTTTTTCTCGTCACAGTGCTCAGGTGAGCGTTTTGGCCCATGGGGCTCTTGTTATCCTTTGACCTTGGATTTTGACATAGACCTGAAAAAAATCTAACCTTGATCATAACTCTTGATCAATTACTGATAGGGCACAGGCACCTGACGTTACTTATTTTTCTTTTCATAAAAAAAAAAATATACCCTTACCTTATAATTATAATGTAAGGGTATAATTTTTTTTATTATAAGAAAAATAAGTAACGTCAGGTGCCTGTTTGATAGGGCTATTATATTTTACAAGATTTGGTTACCAAGATTCTGATCATTTGACATTTGAGTTTGGTCTGCTTTAAACAAAATCTTTTGATCAGATAGTGCTAGAATGTGTGCATTTCTTGTGAAAAGACATACTTTACGCATCACTGATTTTGACCCTTTGTCAGTGACCTTGGGAGTGACCCTCTTTTTAAAAACTTTAACATTGGCCATAACTTTTGAACGATTGGTTCTGGTGCTTTTCTATATCGGAGATGTTTCCTTGTGACAAGACCTTTCATTGGGT